TGGACGAATTAAAGGGGCCAAAACTCTGATGGAGTTCAGACTGTCTGTCAATAAAGGAGCAAAGCCAAGGATTTTATGTAGTTGCTGAGGTGAGGCAGGGTCTAATTGATCAATATCTCAGTTCTACTTTTGCAAGGTGGCTCCAGAGAGGTCTCTGTCATTTGAGAGGGCACCAGGGTGACTGAAGTTTTAGGGCAATGACTAGAGACTTCTGGGTGCCCATTGGTAGCTGAATGTCCCAACAAATCTCTTATCTTACCATCCTCAGTTGTTATGGTTTGTGTCTAGATGTCCCCCAAAGCCTCATGTAGTCATGCGGGTGGGGGAGCTTTTCAGAGGTGGCTGAATCTAGACTTTGTGATTGGTTCATTGTCTAGTGCTGGGATTGGAACTGTGAGTGCTACACCCACCCTTGGATGGGTAGCCTGCATGCAATATAAGGGAAGGAAAAGAGGCTTGCTCCTCTTTGTGCTCTTGTCGCTTTTGTTGTCTTCTGCCACCATGACCTGTTGTCCCTCTGCCAAGCCACCCTGCTTTGGAGCCAGCTGATTATGGACTGAAACCTCTACAAACTCTGAGCTAAATAAACCTTTGTTTCCTTAACTTTGGTTTTGGGTGTTTTGTCCGCAATGAGAGAAAAGTAATTAAGACATCATTCTTGAAGGAAGATGAGATAGGTTATATAAATTTAGGGCTAATCAACCGTGCATTACCAGTTTTTAGACACACACTCCCTAAATTATTAACATGCCTATATGCAGAACTGAGCAGGGATCTGACCCAAAGTTGTAAGGTAATAAAGGAGACAGATGCAAAATAAAGGTGAAGCTTTATTGTGCTTTAGTTAACCATTGGGCATCTGTAGGCCCCAATGAGTTACTTTTTTGTATATAAATGCAACTTCTAAGTGCAAAATTGTCTTAGAAGAAAACACAAATTATGCTTTACTGAGAAATAGGTTAAGGACCCAGGAATGCACATGTCCTTTGTCCCTGTGATGGTCTCTGATTTCATCAGTTATTATGCAAGTTTAATGAGTTACCATATTGATCATTTTGCGTGGCACATAGTAAGTGTGCAGAACTTATCTTTTTGGAAGCTCTCTCCTTCTCAAATAAACTGGTGTTCTTGTCCCACTTTCTTGTCAATAGTAAATGATGTACACATGTCTTCCACATCTTCATTCAAGTCAATGATACTCAAATTGTTGGTTAGGACAGAGCACCAGATGCTGCCTGTTACAATATAGGAATCTCTCTGCATGACAGTAACACATTAAATACCATCCTTTTCCAAAAGTTATTTCACCTACCTTTCCTTATGCCCACATCTCACATCTTGCTCTTGACAATATCATGATAGACATCAAATAGCTTGCTTAAGTGCAAATAAATCATGGCAACTGATTTGCTTCACTTCATAAGTTCTAGTGAACTTATAAAAGGAGGGATTGTACTAGGATAGCATGACTTGTTTGAAAGAAGTTATGAGGGTAAAAATGTTGCCTTTTATTTACATCTGGCACATGGTAGAAACTTGGTATATATTTGAGCATTTTCCTCATGTCCAGAGACTTTGTCTGATACTGAGATTAAGGGTGATGGACTAATTAATTTGGCTGAAGAAATTTCAAGGCAGTTGAATTTTGAGGTGGTGACATGGCTACTTTTGGGGTTTTTAGCCAGATTTATGCTGAGAATCACAAGCAAAGAGGCCAGCAGAATGATTTAAAATGTTGTGAGTCTGGCCAGAAACAAAGCTCCAGTAAAGCTGTGGAACGCAAAGACAGAGCAGAGGAGATCTTGATTGCTGAGAAAAACAGAATAGAAAAGATGGCCTGAGGGCATCACAAGAAGCAGCAGGACTCCAACCTTTACACCCACATATTTGCAAAAGTGAAAGATTTTGCTTTGGGAAAACAGCCACAGAGCACTGCATTCCAAAATTGTGGTGACGTAGGGAAGTTATTCCTCAGGATTTGATTCATAGTCACTTGACCCCTCCAGCTAAGAGAAAGAGAAGCCTGGCTACTGCTGCAGCTGGCAGCAAACCTTGGCATCATCCATGTGGTGCCAGTTTTAGGTGCATGCAGAATGGAAGAGTTGTGGGACCGTCCAGATTTCAAAAAAAGGCTTAGGAGGCCAGGAAGTATGCTCTGAGAGGGCAGTGTGTAAAGTTGTGACTATGAAGCCAAAGGTGCAGTGGAGACCCCAGAAGTTTGGAGAAGCCAGGAACATGGATTACGTGAGGAAAACTGTAAGGAAGGAGCAGAGGAGGCCCAAGAGAGAAGCCATGGGAGTTACAATAACCAGAAGTGTCATAGGGTCTAAGCCACCCAAGCCCTTTGGAATTCACCTCTTGCCACAAATTGCCTTGGATGCTGCACATGGAATTGTAGGACTCAATGTTTTCCTTGCTAGGTTTTGGACTTGCTTTGGTCCCATTCCTTTGTATTCCTGTGTGTCACTTTTGGAATGGAAATGTGTATCTTGTGCCATTGAATGCTGGAAGTGTTCAACTTTCTTTTCATTTGTACAGGGGCTCACAGCTAAGAGTTTGCCTTAAATCTCAAAGGAAACTTTTGACTTAGACTTTTCAGCAATGCTGAAACTGTTAGGACTTTGACACTTCTTGGAGGTGAATTAAATGACTTTTGCATAAAGGAATTCAAGGCTAGCCTGAACTACAGAGTGAGATGCTGTCTTAAAGCAAAACAAAGCAAAACAAAACAAAACAAAAAAAAGTTCTGCCTTATGCTAGTGATATAGGGATAATATAGGACCTCCAAATAATCCAAATAATATAAGGAAAATATTATAACTCCCCATCTGTTAGCCTGGTGGGTGTCTGATTTGCTGAGTTTTTTTTTTTTTTTCTTTTTTTCTTTTTTTTTGAGACAGGGTCTCACTATGTAGTTCAGGCTGGCCTGGAACTCAGCAAACTTACTGCCTCAGCCTCCCAAGTGCTGGGATTACAGGAGTGCACCACCACACCTGGTGATACACTGAATTTGTGTTCTCTAAAATCAAAGAGTGAATTCTAGGAACATTGGTGGTTAATAGCAGAAAATATTTATTGGGGAAAGAAAGCTATATTCATTGAGGAAAGAAAGATTCTGCCTAATAGAGGCAAAAGGGATCCTCAGTGGGTTGCCTGGGAACCCCCCTGCCAGGAAGATTTATGGAGCAAAACCATGAGGTGAGGTGGATCTAAGGTGAGACAAAACTGTAGTCAACTAATAAGATTACAAGTATAGTCACTTGGGTAACTTTGATCCAATGGGAAATCACAAAGTGGTTATGAGGTGGGACAAAACTATGGTCAACCAATAAGATTATGTGTCACTTTTGGAATGGAAATATGTATCTTGTGTCATTGAATGTTGGAAGTGTTCAACTCTCTTTTCATTTGTACAGGGGCTTAGGTAATAATTGGTAGGTAATAATCACCTATTAGGTAATAATCGCTCAGGTAATATTGCTTAAATGGGGATCACTGGGGAAGAAAGTCAGGCAGCAGGGGCTGGGGATTTAGCTCAGCGGCAAAAGCGCCAGCCTGGCAAGTGCAAGGTCGTGAGTTCGGTTCCCGGTACCAGAGAAAAACAAAAAAAAACAAAACAAAAAAAAAAGAAAGTCAGGCAGCAAATGTATAGGGAACATAGGGACTTTTCTTGAAAGGGAGGTTTTGATCCACCACCCAAGGTGATGGATACCTATTTAGAATATCAATCACTACTGTTCATCCCTAGGGGAAGTATGAAGGTATAGTCATTCCATCTGTTTTTGAGGTCTGGCTGTGGAGGAATGTGCCTCTACCCACAGTAGTAATGTATCTGTATTGACTCCTTTTGAGGGCCTAATCCTGTCTGACTCTCTAATATTTCTACCTAACTTAGCTGTCTATAATACTAGGATCAAAGTAATGTTTCTGAATTTTGTTGAAGATTTCATAACTTTTAGAGAGAATGTCTCAAACTGGAAATAGTATAATTTCATGAACTTTGATAATTTTATTGGGAGGAACTGGTTTGTTTTTGTGTTTGCTTTATTATATTTCTGGGAATTGGGCCCAGAGGTACTCTACCATTGGCTACATCCCCAGCCATCCCCAGCCATCCCCAGCCATCCCCAGCTTTCTTTTTTTTTTTTTCACTTTGAGACAGGGTCTCGCCAAATTGCTCAGACTAGTCTCAAACTTGCTTCCTTTTTGTCTTAGCCTCCTGAGCAACTAGGATTACAGGCGTGTGTGCCCCTCGGTGCTCAGCTCTATATTACTCTTTGAGAGTCAAGCAATGTGTACTAAGTAATGCAACCTGCAGAAAGTTGATAGTAAAAATCCTAGAATTGTTAAGGATTTCACTGGGAGCATGAGGGCACCTGAGGAGGGATAGAGATGGATGTGAGGCTTCGAAATAAGCCCAAGTAATTTACCATGGGCTTGGACATTTTCTTTTGGGAGTTTGAAGAGCTCGTATTCACTTATTCATTCCCAAATACTTATTTAAGCACCTCTTTATGTATGTCATTTAGGATACAACAGTAAGATATACACAGGTGTGGTCCTCCAAGTTTACATTGTAATTCTAACCGAGCTTACATTCAAGGGCATTGTAATGCCAAACCATGTATTCAAGACTAGGATAAATAAATCCGATGAACCAATCTGATCACAAGCCACAGCAAAAATCACTACGTTGAATTTTCTATTCTTGGATGTTAGGTCTTCCAGAGGGCAATGCTTGAGGGATAAGATGAGATCTCCCATCAAAATTTTACAAACTTGTTGTTTAGGTTCCTTCAGTTTAGGACTGCAACGTCAAACTGCCCCACGGCACAGAACTACCCCTATGTATGTAAGAATTGAAGAGGATTACAGGAGAAAAACAACTCCATGAGAACCCAGAGACTGAACATCTAGCTCCTGCCTGTACCGGAATGCTATGGACTACAAGTCCCATAAACCATTTGGTCCCTGCCCACTTCCATTCCTGCAGCAGGGGAAAGCGGTTTTGTAGGGCGCGCTCTTGTTGCGTCATCAACGTGTGCCACCCGGTAACTTGTCTGCAAAAGCATGGCAACTGCTGAAGCTGCGGTACTGTCCTCGCCTTTGAAAACAGACATAGTCCCGGTCTCTGAAACTGCAGAAACAGACGCAGCAATGGCCAGGAAATCTGTAGCAACGGCTGCGGCCGCAGCGATTGTGGCTGCGGCCAGAACCGGATCCGAAACCAGGGTCTCCAAGGCCGCTTTGGCTACCAAGTTGCTGTCTCTGAGCGGCGTGTTCGCAGTGCACAAGCCCAAAGGGCCCACTTCAGCCGAGCTGCTGAATCGGTTGAAGGAGAAGCTGCTGGCAGGTACTGCAGCCGGGGTGGGGACCAGGCCGAGGAGGTTGCCGAGAGAGGGGAAGCACGCTGGGCTTTTTGAAGCTCCTGGCTCGAGAGATGAAGGAAAAGGGAGAACGAACTCTGAATTAGCGCTGGACAGAATCCGGGGCATTTTAGGCTTGCATTTGCCGTAGAGTGAATTATTGTAGCCTAGTTGGCAGTTATTCTCAAGAGAGGGAAATGACCCCGCATACACAATAAATCTCTGCCCTAGGGCTTGCAGACCAATTTTATGTAATCAGATTCCTCAGGAGCTTTTGTTTGGTTCATGTGGATAAAATCCACTCAAAGGAAGCTTCGGTTTTGTAAAAGTTATATTAAAAATATATTGGAAAGTGGGCATGGTAACACACACCTTTAATTCCAGTACTCTGGGAAGCTGAGGCAGGAAGATTGCAAGTTCGAGCCCAACTTTGCTGATTTAGCAGGATCCTAACTCAGAAAAGGGTTTGGTATGTAGTTTAGTGAGAAGAACTTGAAGTCAATCTCCAGTACTTATATATATATATACTTATACACTTGTATATATATATAAGTATATATACTTATATACTTATATATATATGTCTCCAGTACATTGTATATATATCATATATATATGATACAAAGTTAACTAAGACAATATAGTGCTTTTCTCATTTTAGTGGGGCATAAAGATTGCTTAGTCTCTCACACAAATGCAGATTCCTCATCCCTGCTCTCCCCAGAGATTGTGATTGTGAGGGTAGGGCATTTTTAGGCAATTTCATTTTTAAACAGTTGCTCCAGATGACTAGTGTGAGTGAATCTGTGGGCCATATTTTGAGGAGCACTAAATATAACTTGGCCAGTTCTCCAAGACCATTCTTTTTGTCTATACACACTGGAAAAACATTAGAAAAGTTTGAAGGGTTGTACAATTCATCAGCCCAGAGATCACTTCAGAGAGGAGCAGCAAAGACTCTTAGTTTTATTGGACATCCACCCTAAACTAGATCCGTGCTAACCTATAGAGAGATGAAATGAAAGATAATTGTCTCTTCCCTTAATTGAGTTCACAGCCTAACAATTTCTGCAGCCTTTACTAGTAAATTATTTAGGCTCTCCAGAATTTGATCCTATCTGTCTTGACATTAAAGCAATACAGGAACTTTTTTTCTTACCTTGTTATGTATCTGCTGGCCAACTTTATACTTTTTAAAAATGTAAAACCAAATGATTCTCATGGGGATTTGGTAATTGTAATCGTCACAATACAAATTTAAATGTTTCTTGGCAAGTATGTACATTTTTACATATGTTTAACTCCAGTATTATACGTGTTCATCCTTTCCTCATATTTTGTAAGAATGGCTCATATAGGAAATGTTGAAGCAAGGAGTTATATTAAGGATAAGCATTATGGTGTCTTTAAAGGAAGCCTTCCCCCAGTAGACATTCTGTTTTCATTTAGCCTAATATGTTAGTTAAACTATGGCTTTTTTTTCTTGATTATCAAAGTAATTATTATCGTTCTTTTCCTCAGACAAGTTTGTGACAAGATCAAAGCCACACCCTCGCTTTCTGGTTAATCTTCTCCTAAGAGCTGAAGTTTTCTGTTGATACATGGTTAAGGTGGATTGTTTCAAAGCTATTGCCAGGCCATTTTCTGGAAATCCCCCATTAGGATGTTGTTATTCTTGTAACCCTCCATTTCTGTAATGCTTATGATTGGCCTGTTCTGTTTGTGTTAGATAGATTAGGGCTTCTCAAATGCCATTCTAACCAGCTGTCAGAATTACCTGGGAAGGATCTTACGATACCCACATTCTGATGCTGGTCAGGTTTGATGCACACTAATTAAAGCCATGGTCAGTGTTGATGGCCTTTAAGAACATTCTTTGTCTTTTCTTACATTGATTACTGCCATACTGTAATCCCTGCTCTTCTTTGTGTGTTTAAATCCTTCAGGGCCTGAAACACACCAGAGACCTTAATAAATATTCATCCATGAATATTTGCTTCAGTAGAGTGAATTTATGAGGCCTTCGTCCTCTAAGGAGCACCAAGCTGAAAATTCAAAGAGTTCTCCAAAAGATTCTAATAAATTTGTAAATTAGATATTCATGATGTATTATAAGTGAAAGGGGAAAGGTTTGAAACTTAGGCCTAACCTGAAGGGTTTGGGTTTATGTCAAAAGCTATGTTTTATAGTTCCTAAGCACTGAATTTTGTCTTTAAGACAGGAGTTTGAGAGAACCAGGATTGTTACCTTTTTTTTTTTTTAATCCAAATGCTTCAAAGGCTAAGAGGCAACTTAACTGTTACCTATTTCCCACATAACTTTTTTGTGGAGATTAACTTCTTTAATGTGTTGAGAGTTTTTATTAAAAAAGGACAAATAAATAGTGTGAAAACTCATTATACTTACAGGTAGCCCTGTGTGAGGTGTGCTCCCAACATTGGTAGGCTGGAGGAGCCAGTGAAGAACAGTAGGAAGAGAGTTAGAAATAGAAAATTGAGGACTTTTAAAACTACCTATTTATATAAAAATGAACTTCTTTTCATTATTCTTAAATAGCTTACTGCCACCAGGAATTTTCTAGACTTTTTGTGGGTTAGCTTAGACATTTATCCATAATTAAAAAGTTTTTTTCTTTTTTTGGGGAAATGCATTGTCATTTCTAGACAACTAATTTTGGAACAGTATTTCTTTTGTAATCTAGGGGATGTATGTATATTTTAAAATCCGTGGTCATAGACTTAATAAGTTTATACGATACTTTTCGTTTTGAGCATGTCATATTCATGGAGATTCTACCTCATTTGTCTTGGTAATTATCTTTTTTTCATCCTGGTTATCCTCACAGAAGCGGGTATGCCTTCTTCAGAATGGACCAAGAGGAAAAAACAGACTTTGAAAATCGGGCATGGAGGGACTCTAGACAGCGCAGCCCGAGGCGTTCTGGGTAAGAGACATGAAGGAAATTTGACAGTATTGTCCCTTAATGTCAGGAAGTCAGATTGGGTGGATACAAATTAAATTGACTAAAACCATGTTATTTTTAGTCTGCTGTGTGGTGTTTTAGTTCTCCTGAACATACAGTGCTATCTTCTAATTAAGCCCTTAAATTGTACAGAACATACAAGGCCATTAGAAGCAGCAGCTGTTAAGTGTGGATGGGACATTGAGAAAAAGGTTTGTATCTGTTCAGAAAACAGTTAATATAGCGGGCCTGAAGGCTTGCCTTTAGCTAGCATCATGAACTTGGGTTTTAGGGGTTTCCTGCACTTTCCTATTTTTGAGAAGTATGCTGTGATTTGACTGTTTGCACACCTGCTTTCATTTTCTAGAAATTTGGAATGTTGCCCCACCACATACGCAGAAGGTGCCTGAGTGACCATCCCCCAGCTCTTCCTCCGTACCCCCCCAATAGACTTTGGGTACTGAGTTTGCTGATAAGCTTCTCCAAGAGAAGCATTGCACACATTACTGCATTTTTCATTGTTGGAAAAAGGTGTTCGTCAGTCTCACGGGAGGGACAGATGCCTGTATATGGATTTCTCCAATGTCTTTTCCTCTGGTGACCCAGTGGTGTGTCTTTACTACATTAATGATAAATCTTAGCTGTTTATGAATACTTGCATGTGGGATGATCATGGAAGGTATAAAGCTCTTTTCTCTGCCTATCACTAGTCTAATTTTTAGATCAGCTCTATTGAGAAGGTAAACCTAATAGTTCTTGAGAAAAAGTTGTTTTCTTTTGGGACCTATTCATTGACTATATTATTGCTTGTGGAAGAAAAACTTGACAGAATTGATTGAAGGAAGAAAAGATACGCATGTGTTTTTATTCTGAAATCTTTTTGGACTGCTGAGGTAGATCTGCAGAGGCTAGGATGTGTTTCCAAAACTTTTTCTGTAACTACATCTATAGTCACGAAAACATATAGAGTGGGATTTCCCTGTCACCTCAGTTCCCACATATTAAAAACAAATTTTATGAAATAAAACTTACCTTTTTACATGCTCTGTTATATTTATTCAATTTCATTTTTTAAAAGTGTTGATTATAAACTGTGATATCATGATGCACTAACATGAACATATGAGTTATGACTCATACTTTGTAAAGTACTGTGGTGTAATCTGAAATCCATATTATTACAACTAAAATCAGATACAAACAACAACAAACCCTAATCTATCCAAAGGAAATAAGTACTTGTTTAAAAAAAAAGAACAATTCAGTGCAGCAGAAGACAGTAAAAGCAACAAGAGCAAAAAAGGAGGCAGAGAAAGTCTCTTTTCCTTCCCTTATATTGTATGCAGGCTACCCGCCCTTGGGTGGGTGTAGCACTCACACCATCTTCATGCCCTCTTCTTGCACAGCCTCAGGATGTTTACAAAGTGAGGCCCTTGGCCCCCTGCTGAGTCACTTCCTTAAACTTCTAAACTTCTCTAGTTGACACAATAAACAATATCCTAGAGCAGTAAGGACATGTTCTGTACACCCTAGGGTGTAGAACTGCTGAATTACTTACTTAAGCTTCTAAACTTCGGAAGTTAACACAATGTATCAACCATTACAAGATAGAAATAAAATTTTTACGTACTACTTTAAAAATGTATTTTTTTCTAACTTCAGAGGTTATAAAAGCATAGTAGAGAAAATTTTGAAAAATTTTCGAAAAAACTAACCTTTTTCTGCCTTCCACCAAATAATCAGTTAACATTTTTGCTGTATTTTCTCTTAGTTTTTATCTGTGCAAATTTTAAATGTTCAGTTCTATTTTATGTATTTTTATATCTCATTTTTCTACTTGACATTATAACAAGATATTTTTCATGTTAATTAAAAATATGATAAACAGTATGTTAATGGCTACTGGATAAGAGTGAAAACACAATTTAACCATTTCTCTATTTGAGGTCCCTAAGGTTATTACTAGAATTTTATTAATGGAACTGATTTTGTGGGAACAGCTTTATTAATAGGACCTTGCCTGTGTTTTGGATTTTTAGGGTAGATGCCTAGAAGTGGAAAGATACAGGTCTTGAAGATGATTAAGAGGGTATGATAGCATTAGAAAACTGGTAGTAGAAGCTTCCACCTGTAGAAAGCATTGGAAATGTGTGGCGAGTACCTTTGCCTGTCCCACAATGGCTGTCGCAATAAACTGATTTTATCTTTACAATTTGAGAGTAGAGTACCAAGGCATTGAGAATAGACTATGAAGGCATTGGGTAGGTTTGGAGATAGTGAGTTTTTTACAGAGAACATTTGAGTGAGCACAGGAAATTTGTGAAATAAAGAAAGTAGTTATTGTGTGTTTGCAGGGAAAGTCCTCTTACTCATCTGTGCTCTAAACTCTGCTCTTTCACAGACCATGTCTTTCTTTGTTCATGTCTTTATTTTTATATGAACTGCTTATCTCCGTTATTACTTGTATTGACTTTTTAGGTTTGGTTGAAAAATCACTGTTTTCAATATATGACGGCTACCCACTTCCTTTTTTTATTGCTAATATAAAACTTCCTAATTTGGTTCTGTCTGTGTTTGTTAACATTCATCTCCCTGTTACATTGAAAATCACTGGACTGACTTTTTCCAGAGCTTATTATTTCTGTATTTATATAGTAATTCAGTTTTGAAGGATCAAGTGATAGGCAAAAAGCTAAGGGAAACTTCTGTCTAGGAATATAAGATTTCTTTTGTTCTCTTTTTATGTTGTTTTTTTGGTTGTTGTTTGTCTGTTTTTAGTTTATGACACAGGGCCTTGTTATGTAGTTCAGGCTGGCCTTGTACTCAGTATATAGTCCAGACTGGCCTTGAACTTGCTGTGATTCTCCTGTGTCAGCCTCCTGAGTGCTAGGATTACAAGCGTGTGCCACCACCCTCAGCTGTTTTTTGAGATAGGGTCTCATCTATGTGGTTTAGGCTGGCCTTGAACTCATTAGGTAGCCCAACCTGGCCTCGAACTCACAGCTGTCCTTGTTCTGCCTCAGCCTCCTGAGTATTGGAATCACAGACATGTACCACCATGCCCAGCTTTCCTTTAGGTTTCATTCAGTCTTCACCCCTGCCAGTTGGAAGGATCCCAATTCCAAATTATTTTTCTACATTACACTGCTGATTAGTCTTCCCCAAATTCAACTTTCACTGTATAAGTGGTCACTTAACTTCCATAGGCCCTGATTTTTAGGACTGTGAAGTAAAAATGTTAAGGTGGGTAACTGTAAGGCATCTTCCTTTAAAGTTCATTATTCTGGATCATTTAATTAGTTCAGAAGTCATCATCAATTCAACATTTTGACTGTGGTAAAGTTAAATATGTCAGTCTGCTTTTAACACATCCTCTACGCTGGTTGATAAACCCACTGTGCCTATCCTTGTCTCAGAATTTGTGTGGTTTGTTCCTCCTTTAGAACATACTTCTCTTCTCTGTGTGTGTTCAAGTCCTGTGTGTTCTTCAAGGCCTAACCAATGAAGCGTTCTCTGGCCTCAGCCATTTAGAGTAGTCTTCTTTTACCCTTCTACAGCAACTGTTCTCTGTTCATTTTGTTGCTTAATCATATATTATATCATTATTTAACATTATTCACTCACTAATTCAGGTAACACTTTTTGAGCACTGTGATTGTCCTATGTTTGTTTACCCCCTGAGATAATAAGCTCTTTCAAAGTCAGGAAATGTTTTTGGCTTCTTTGTTGTCCCATCAGAAATGTCCCTCTTGGGACTTTGTGCATACGAGATGTAACAACGTTTGATTGAGAATTTGTTTGAATGAAATCAAATTGCATTGAGTCTTGGTGGTTACTATTATGTAGTTTTTGCTTCATTAGTGATGATATCAACGAGTTCTGTCATTTAAAGAGTATTTTACTTTTTAAAATTTACTGAAGGCAGTTTTTGTCTTTGTCCTTGAACTAAAATGACTCTGATTAGGGCCCAACAATCAGTATGAGTGAATATCATAGTGGTTTATAGGGGGTTTGGAATAGACTTTATGAATGAGTTGGGAATTTAGCTGGGCATTGAACATAGACTGAATATTATGGGTTGGTATTATAGAAATTGAAATCTCATTAAGGGTTGCTGGGGGCTTTGTAGTATGCAAAATATAGTTTGAGATGTAGTAAAGAAATAGTGTGAACTTGAAGAGAAAGGGACGGGATATAGAACAGTGAGATTTGCAGTAGGTTGGGTGGTGGCAGTAGGAAGAAAGCCTTGAGTAACGTGGCAGGAGAAATGTAAAGGAGACTACATAGTTTGATTGGAATTTTATCTCTACCATGTATTAATTGTGAGCTCTTAGCCAAACTTTAGCATCTCTGTGCTTTAGTTTCCTTGTGTATAAATAGGGATAGTTGCATAAATTTTCAAGGTTGGTATAAGGAATAAATTAGATTATGAATGAAAAGCATTCAGTGTGAACTTGATACATGGTAAACTCACTGAATGATATCTGCTAGACATATTGATGTTTTTTGGTTTTACAATCATTTCTCCTTGTTTCCTCCAAATACTGAATTGTGGGGTCATATTGTGTTCTTATATAGAGTTGTATCCACTGATGATAAATACTTCAATTCTTATAAAAAATTGCTTGCTATTAAGTTAAGAAATGATTAAGTCCTCTCAATCATCTGGTAAAATATGTTATTGTAACAGTAGTGTTTGACTTTGAAGAGAAAGGAAGGTCTTTTTTTTTTTAACAGTTTCACAGGTAGTCTCTTTTAAAATGCATTCTGAATATGATTGAGCACCACTATAATCCCAGAATTCTGGGAAGCTGATGCAAAAGGATCATGAGTTTGAGCCTAGACTGGGTGATTTAGTGACTTAGGAAGACCCTGTGTCAAAATAAAAAAATTTATCTCTTTTGATCATTCTTGGTTTGTAGTTCACATTATCTGCAAACAGAATAGCTACCCCTGCTTTTTTCTGGGTTCCTGTCACATGGAGTATTATTTTCCATCCTTTGACTTTGAGTCTGGGAATTTCCTTTTGAGTTAAATGTGCTTCTTGTAAACAGCATATTGTTGAATTTTGTTTCTTGATCCACTCTGCCAGTCTGTTTCTTTTGATTGGTGAATTGAGTCCATTTACATTAGTGGTTATAACTGATATGTATTGGCTTATATTTGTCGTGCTGTTTTCTTGCTGTTAGTTCCTTTTATTCCCCTCTGTTTAATTGCTTGCCGTCCTTGGTGATTTCTTTCTGTTATTCTTGGAGTTGTGGTCATTTTTATCTCTGTCTAGAATATCTTTCAGTACTCTTTGTAGGGTTGGTTTAGTGGTCATGAATTTCTTCAGTTCTTTGTTGTGGAAGTATCTTATTGCTCTATTAATTTTGAAAGATAAATTTGCAGGGTACATCAATCTGGGTTGGAAGTTGTTTTCTTTCAGGACTTAAAATATTTCACTCCAAGCTCTTCGTGACTTGATGGTTTATGTTGAGAAGTCTGCCATGATTCTGATGCACTTTCCTTTATAAGTGATCTGTTTCTTTTCTCTAACAACTTTTAATATTCTGTTCTTGGGCTAAATTTCTGGCATCTTGATTATTATGTCTTTGTGTGGATTGATTTTGGTTATGGCTAATTGGAGTTCTATATGACTCACTAACTGTATGTCAGATTCTTTTTCCATGCTTGAGAAATTTTCTGCTACTACTTCTGCAAATAGTTTTTATGTCTTTTGTGTTTACTACTTTTTGGTTAACACCAATCAATCTTCTATTGTTTTTCTTTGCATCATCTTGCAGCTGTTGAATTACTATTTCCTATTTCCTTGTTATTTTTAAGAGATCTGTCCTTTTCATGATTGCTAGAAGCAATGCTGTCTTCAAGGTCTAAAAGTCTATCTTCAGTTTTGTTCAAATGGTTTTTGTCAGCTTTTAATGGATTTTAATTTCCTGGGCATCTCTTTGAATCTGTTTCATGCATTCTAATTCTTTCCTGTGTTGTTCGTTCAAGGTTTCCATCACTTTCCTGTGCTTCTCTACATTTTTATCTATCTTCTTTAGATATACTGAGCAATCTCCCTAATGAACATAGACAGAAAAATCCTCAGTAAAAAACTCACAAACAGAATCCAGCAAATCATCAAGAACATTATACACCATGACTAAGTGGGATTCCTCCCAGGAATGCAGGGATGGTTCAGTATATGCAAATCAATAACTGTAATACATCATATCAACAGAGCCAAAGACAAAAACCACATGATCATCTCAATAGATGCAGAAAAAACTTCTGATAAAGTTCAACACTCATTCATAATAAAAACCCTAGAGAAAATCAGAATAGATGATCTTTACCTCAGTCTGATAAAAGCCATCTGTCACAAACCAACAGCCAATGTCATACTAAATGGATGAAAACTGAAACTATTCAATCTAAAATCAGGAACAAGATAAGCATTCCACTTTTCACCACTCCTTTTCAATATAGTTCTGGAAACATTAGCCAGAGTGATTAGACAAGAGAGAGAAATAAAAAGAATAAGGATGGGAAAGGAAGTCTACATAGAAGACCCCAAAACTTCCACTAAAAAACTTCTAGATTTAATAACCAAATTCAGTAGCATAAGTGGATACAAAGTCAACACTCAAAAATCAATAGCATCCCTGTACACAAACAGCAAATTTACTGAGAGAGAAATTTCACAATAACATCCAAAAAAAAGAAATACTTAGGACTCAGTCTAACCAAGGAAGTATAAGATCTATACAATGAAAATCACAGTACTCTGAAAAGAGATCGAAAAGGATTTCAGAAAATGGAAAGATATTCTTACTCATGAATAGTAAGATCCAACATTGTGAAAATGGCCATACTCCCAAAACTGTTACGCAGATTTAATCCATCCTGATCAAAATACCTTTATTATACCCACAGATCTAGAGAAAACATTTCTAAAGTTGTGGAACTAGAAGAGACCAGAATAGCAAAGGCCATCCTGGCAATAAAGGCAAGGAAGGAGGCATCACAATCCCTGATTTGAAATTATATTACAAAGCTACTGTGACAAAATCAGTATGGTATTGGTAAAAAAAACAGACCTAAAGATCAATGGAACAGGTTAGAAGGTGAAGACACAACTACAAACACACTCAGCCACCTTATCTTTGACAAAGGGACCAAACATGTTCACTGGAAGAAAAATAGCCTCTTATAAATGGTGCTGGAAAAACTGACTTTCCACATGCCAAAGACTAAAACTAGACCCATGTCTATCACCATGTACTAAACTAAAGTCAAAATGGATCAAAGATCTAAATATTAAAACAGAAACACTAACTCTACTGGAAGAGAAAGTAGGTAAAAATCTTGAAGACATAGGGGTAGGCAGCAAGGTCATGAACAAAAACCAAACTGCACATGAAATACTTCAAAGAATCCACAGCTGGAATCTCATCTAAAAAGCTTTTGCACAGCAAAAGAACTTGCTAAGTGAAAATAAAACCCACGAATTGGGAAAAAATTTTAGAAACTGTCCCTTAGACAAAGGACTTCTGCCTAGAACATATAAAGTATTTAAAAAAATCAGGCCCCTAAAATTCAAAGGCCCAATCCAAAAATGGGCATCTGGGATGAATACAAACTTCTCAGATGAAGAAATACCAATAGCAAATAAATATATGAAAAAATGTTCAACATTATTGCTCATTTCAGAAATGCCAATTGAAATAACACTGAGATTTCATCTCACCCCAGAAAGAATGGCTATCATCAAAAAAATCAATCAGTAACAAATTCTGCCATCCTCATTGTTTTAAAAATTTAGATTTTAAGGTAGATTTCTATGGAGGAAAAAGGAACTTTTCTCCACTGTTGGTGGGAGTGTAGACTGGTACACCTACTATGGAAATCTGTGTGGAGATTCCTCAAAAAACTAAGATGAGAGGTCCAGTTCGACCCGGCTATTCTCCTTCTGGATATTTTTCCAGAAGAACTGAAAACCACAGAAAAATATGTGCACACATGTTTTTAGTAGCACAACTTGTAATACCTAAATCTTGGAAACAACCCCAATACCCATCAACTGAGGAATGGATAAAAAATGTGTGATATTTTTATACAATGGAGTACTACTCAGCTATAAAGAAAGACAAACTCAAGGCTTTCATAAGTAAATTGATGCAGCTAGAGACCATACTCATAAATGAAATAAGCATGTTTAAACATTATATTGTCTCCCTAGTGCAAGAAACAGAGTAAATAAGATCCAAAAGGTACAAAAAGTATTGTGAAAGGGAAAGAAACCGCTTGAAGGGAAAAAGCAGCTGGGATGGGGGAAAGGAGAAAAGAAGAAAGGGAAAAATAATATATATATATATATGTACACACAAATATAAGATAGCTAAGATAACTGTACTACTAATTTCTATTAGTTCATTGAAAGGAACAGTTAATGCTTATGTTATCAGTTTTGTATGCCTATGTCTGCTAATCCAAGCAACTACTTTGAAGATAACAATATGCAATATAATAACCATTGTTAATTTCCTAAAAAAAAAAAATTAAAAAGAAATTTTAAAAGACTGGGAATGTGGTTCAGTGGGAAGACCCTACATTCAATCTCCAGTGCTGGGGGAAAAAAATCTCTAGGCCTTCATTTCTGCCTGTAATTTTTCTGTGTGTTAGGTTGATTTGTTATATTTCTCTGTTCTTGATTATGTACTGCTGGGCACTAATCACCTTTTAAATGGTTCATTAGCTGTGATGATGGCTTTTGCTTTGTTTAATAATGAGTTCTGTCAAGATTTGATCATATTATTTGAACATGGTTACTTGTACCATGTATTTTTCACTGGAGCCCTTATGAAACTGGAGTAAGTCCTTTGAGATTGTTCTAGAAAACTTCTTTATCTAATCGGCTAGATTGAGATTTCTTTCCTGTTTAATGCTTTGAGTAAAAAGTTCTTTCTCCCCTTCCCTCTGTAGAATATTTTAGTTGCCTGGCATGTTCAATTGATTGGAATAATAGGAACCCTTAAATTTTGTTAACTTTTCAACTTCACATTACATAGGCCAACAAATTATGAGTAAAATATGTAGATATTTTAAAAGCCTAGTTTTCAAAATAGTCTCTTAATATTTTTCTCTTTGATTTGTAGTCATTGGAATTGGAAGGGGAACAAAAATGTTGACCAGTATGTTGTCAGGGTCCAAGGTAAGAATATTGGAATATTTTTATTTTTCCTTTAACGTTTTTCTTAATGCTGTATTGTACATGTTGAGTTTTATCAGTTAAAAAAACAAATAATGTAAAAAAATAAAAATAAAAAATAAAAAATAAAAAAATAAAACAAATAATGTAAATTGCCTGGACAGGTGTTTTTGTTCTCAAATCACAATGTCAGCAAACATATCTGGGACTCAGATATTGCAGCTATAAATTAAAGAGCCAATTAGACTTAAAGGAGCAAAAATTCTGCCATGCTCATAGTTTTAAAAATTTACATTTTAAGATAGAATCAGATTTCTTAGAGAAAAGTAAATTTATAGGTTGTAAATTCTGTGGGCTGATTTTTTTTAACTTTGAAATGCTTATAGACACAATACCATTTTGTAAGCAGTTTAAAAAGATGCTTTGTTCAATGTTTATGAAATGTTTATAAAAGAAAAGAGTGGAGCATCTTTAAATTGATAAAGTATATGCATCTATGAATATGGACTAGCAAAAGCACTTTTTGAGAGACTTGATAGGAGACAGAGGAGGGGCTATGGGAGGGCCAGAGAGGCTGGGAAGGTGCGGACTACATCACACATGGTGTTGTGTAGGGAACACCGGAACAGACAACAGGATGTCAGAGTGGTTAACCTCCCTAGGCAGAATCATCAGCCTCTCTTCCAGCTCTAAAAGGGATAACAGTGTGTATATTTAGATAGCAGTTAGACCCTGGCTATAAGAGCTGGGGTAAGGGGTCCCATGAAAATGCCTGTATATAGAGAAGAATTTTAACAAGTTCTTAGATGAAGCTTCTTGATTTAAAACCCCTGTGCCAAATGCGATATAAATAGTTGGTAAAGAATTTCCAGTTTGCTGCAGACTGATTGATGCTTGTAAAATGTAATTAAAATGTTAGACAATGTCTACTTGCGAAGTAAGTTTCTGAACACGCTCATTTTCTGAGCCTGTCTTGTTAATGGTTTCTGGCCCCCTGGATCACACTTTGAGTGGCAGTAGTCTGAGTAAGTTTTTCTCAAAATAAAACGCATAGTTACTCAAGGGATTAAAAACCTACAGCTTTCTATTGGAAGGGAACATTAGTTCCCTTAGATAAATGAAAGATTTTAGTGTGCCTTGCTTTGTTATCTTCAAAATATCCGTGTTGAAAAAAATCACAGAATCCAAAACTTGTGTTGGAATGGAAGCATTTGAATATTTCCCAAAAAATTTATACATTGCACCAAATGCTAACACACAGAGTTTATAATCTGTTTCTGATACAAGTGTTACCAATTGCTTAATATTTGTTTCTTAACTCCAAAATATAAACTATGGTTACTCACTAGGGGGAAATGGGTGGTTTTATTTTCTTGTTCATGTTATCTAGTATTTTCTAAAATCTTTATAGTAATTAAGTCACTTTTATATTAATAACTAAAGATGTGTTCACATTAAGAAATTTGGTTAGGCTTTTTTCCCCAACACAAAATCTGTCTAGTTCATTCAAATATGTGTTATTCCCCACTCCCATCCAAACCACAGACATGCGTAACATACTGTATGTTGTTGAAACAACTTGTAAACTCCAGGCATAGTTTCACAAATATGATGATTGAAAATATAAATACATCACTGACTGGTTTACATTTTGTTACAAAACCATTTTGCTATTCACCTAGCAAAGCTAAATGTCATATGCTGAAATGAGGGACCCTCAGATGGCTAGAACATAAATAGAATAACTCAGGTGTATCTTGTTACAGCAACCTAGTTCTTGGGTGTTTCACATTTCAAACATATGCATCATATTCTTGTTAACCATATTTCTCATACTATTCATTTCATTCTAACCTAGCTCAGATCCAATGTTTGACCTTATATGTCCTTTTTCTCCCCTTCTGTTTTTACAGATGAATCTTTATTTATGTTACAGTGCTACTAGAAAAAATAACACTTTAGTGTATATAGGGTGCAGTTGCTTCAAGGCTGAAATGTTTCATTCTGGAACAGTATTCAATATTAATGTTACAGGCATATTATAATATACTTCTCACTAGCAAGTCCTAATTGGAGACATTCCTATTTGAACATGGACTGACAGTTGTTCTGCAGAATTAAGAAATAGCCTTAAAATTCTTTACAATATACTTCTCCACTTCATACAACCACTGTCAATTGATAAATGGAATGGTAACGTTTTAAATAAAATCTTTAGGTGGGCATGGTGGTGCACACATGTAATCCCAATACTCAGGAGGCTGAGGCAGGAGGGTCCTTGTGAGTTCAAGGCCAGCCTGGGCTACAAAGTGAACTCAAGGCCAGCCAGAACTACATAGCAAAACCCTGTCTCAAAAAGACTACCAAAAAAAAAAAAAAACCTCTATACCATCTGACTGCGATTTTGCCTCCATCTGTGAAGACTAGAGACTAGTCAGACCACCCAACTCTGCTCGCTTTCTCTCTTATCCAGAACAAGGCTTAAAAGTTAAGAAGAGGCACCCCTACCCTGTGTCCATCATTTTTGCTCTTCTGTCTTATCGTAAGCTTTGCTTTTCCAATGATCACGTTTCTCTTGAGTCTTTTATTTATTTTTATTTTTAATGTTTTGCTGCATGCTCTTGGATTGCATGTATAATGGGTTTTAAAACATCTTTTTTATTTCTGTGTGTGTGTGTGTGTGACAGAGAGAGAGAGAGAAAGAGAAAGAGAGAGAGAGAGAAAGACAAAGAGAAAGAGAAAGAAAAAGAGAAAGAGAATTAGTTATTAGGGCCTCACTGTAAGCTACATTTCCAGCCCTTTTTATTTATTTTCTATTTTGATATAGGGTCTTACTAAGATATGCAGGCTAACCTCAAACTTGTGATCCTCCCGCCTTAGCTTCCCAAGTAGCTGGGATTACAAGTGTGTACAATTCCCAAGCCCAGTTTAGAGTACCTTCTGCCTTCTATGTAGAAATTGCTAGGTAATGGTGTTATTACTATAAACCTATCACCAGATTTTTTTTCTTTCGTGAATTCCAAGCATGTTAGATTTCTCTAGCTAGATGTCCTATATTAATTTTATACAAGGAATTTTTGCTGGAAATAGTTTTTTGTTTTTGTTTTTTTTGAGACAGGGTCTCACTATGTAGTTCAGGCTGGCCTTGAGCTCACTTTGTTCGAGACCCAGGCTGGTCTCAAACTCACAACAATCCTCCTACTTTAGCCTCCCTAGTGCTGGGATTGCAGGTGTGCGCCACCATGTCTGGCTTGCTGGAAATTGAGTGCTGTTAGTTTCATCTTTTTAAATTCCTATTTGTGATTTATTGGCAAAATTATAACAGTCATCAGGATAAGCCTGCCAGTTCTTTAAGGCAGGGACAGAATTTCTCTGAGTATAAAGCCAGAAAAAATTTCTTATAATAAGGGACACTGAATAACAAGAGATAGTTCTCAAAAACCGTTTACAACAGATACAAATCTACGTAAGATGTAATTTAGGTAAAATGATTCTGAAAAGTTAGGCTAATGTATACTTTTGGCCTAATTTGGCCTAAATATAGGATAGCAATTATCTAAAGGAAGGCAATAGTCTCTCTTCCATCTTCCCTAAATTATAATTTCTCTGAGTCAGTTATTCAGCAGAGCTGGATAGCAGATATTGTACTTTGAAGTAACAGTCTTTGATGAGGTGTTGGAGTGCTATTCTTATTAGTTTTTTTTATATCGATGATTAAAGTTGGTTACTTTATAGATGTTTTAGAAACCAGATAAATAGATGTAAGAATTGATATCTTGTTAGGAAAACTTGAATCTAATTAGCATTGTTTAAGTGGAAAGCTACCCCATATATGAAAGAAAACCATAGTGGTACCTGCAGGCAAAGCCACCATGTCCTCAGAAAGTGGGTTTATTATCACCTCCAACGGACGACCAAGTATTACGTGTAGGGTATATAAAATTTGCCACCAGTGCTGTGGTCAAAGGACAGAAACTTTCCCTAAGAACAATGTAGCATTTTTTAGTTGAACTGGTTGTGAGGTCTCTGAAGTGTGACTCTAATAATGCTCCTATGAAACTTCTACAACTCTTTAAAATTTTAGCATTCTAATCAGTCTTCTGCAGAGGCTAGTCCAACTTGTACCTTTTCTTTTTCCTCTATTAACATTCAAATATTTCATAAGTACTATATTGAAAAATTTGAAGGGCTTACATTTAGGATATATGAAACACTATTTCTTCTTAATGAAGACATTCAGAGGGTTTAGTAGTTCTTTCAAAAATATTCTTCCTCATCTAAAGAATATGCTTCTTTTTGCCTATGAAAATTTGAGGGGTTGGGGATATAGCTCAGTGGCACAGCACCTGCCTGGCAAGCGCAAGGTCCTAAAGTTTGATTCTCAGTACAAAAAAAATAAATAATTAAATAAAAGAAAATCTGAATCAGTATGTCAAAATCAAGTGTGAGACAAAATAGTTGCTTATTTGCGGTAGAAATTATTGCACACATTTCTGTCATGTAAACATTTTCCTTCCTCCTGAAGGGTACAGAAGCTGCTTTACTCTTAGAGATGTCTAGTAATATCTGCATGGGGACTTAGGGAGCTTGAAGGTGACTAAGTAGAATAGTGTTACTATGAAGCCGTAAAGAGCACCTGTAATTGTGCTGCAGTGATTATAGTAATAGAATTCAAAATTCCCAGGTACACATCTTAGAGAATAAAAAACTCTGAAATCTAAAGTCTCTCTAGAAGGGCCAATGAAAAGAAACACTTTAGACCCTATTGGATAAAAATGTATGGCTATATGTGTACAGCTTCGTGGGTTGTTTTGTTTTTTTTTCTTCTATCTCATATCTTTTTTGGTGGTGAAGCTTTGTTTCGGTTGGAGGGTTATCTGTCTGGGCAGGTTTTTCTAAATAGTTTGCAGGTAATTGAATAGAATTGCATACAGTTGGTAATTGTTAGATGCCAGGACAAGGTAAATCTAGGAAACAGCTGTGATTTAGAGCTGTGATTGGTTCACAAGATGTGGTCCTGAGGCTCTTGAAGGGGGAGTTGGAGGGCCCACTGGAGTCAAAACTGTTTTCATACTTTTGTCTTTTTAGCTTGAAACTTCACAGATGTATAGTGAAATTTTTCAGTTTACCAAATGTGCTGTGATGTCACTGCTCTGACAGCTGCTGGAATGTATAAATATTGTTTTAAACATTTTTCAGTTTCAGTTTCTAATATAGTAAATATTGACAGGTATACTGTATTCTTTTAAAAATCTATGCCAGGGTTGCTCAATAAGTTTTAAGTGTGTGTAGAAGTTCTGAAACCAAAGTACTTGAGAGTGGCTGCTTTAGATATTATCTTCCTGTGTTAGAGAAAGAAAGAGAGACAAGCTGCTTTCTATCATCCCTTATATTGTATTCATGCTACCTGCCCTAGGGCGGGTGTAGCACTCACACCCTTAATTCTGGCACTGGACCATGAATCCATTACAAACTCTAGAAGCCCATGACTGCAGGAGGCTTTGGGGGAGCATCCAGACACAAACCATAACACTGCCCCCTGAAAATAACCATCATATAGCCAAATACACAATAGCTGTGGAACCTGGAATAATTTGAGATTTGTCCAAAATTAGGGTGAAATGTGAAGACTTGTACACATAGAAACTGCTCCAGCATGTTTATAATTCTATCAAGAAATTATTAAACTGCTGCCATGTTTCCATCTAGTGAGGAATACAATAGAACAATGTTTATAATTCTGTCAAGAAATTATTAAACTGCTACCATGTTGCTGTTTAGTAAGGGATACAATAGAACAGTAATGTAAAATCCTGGTAATTTGAGAAGGTAAAAATCAGTATATAAATTATACTTGGAAAACAGTCATGTATGGGTAATGATGTGTGATGCAGTATGGTATGAGAGTTCAGTAAAATGAACTGCTGGTGACTGCCCTTGGTCTGTTATCACCCTTCTGTTCATGTCCCTCTGCTGTAGTTGTTTTATTATTATCTTATCCTATTACATTGTAACCTGTAGGCCTACAGATAATGTAATCCTTCTAGTTTATATCTGTGTGTCTTGTACGTACCTAGAAGAATACTTTGTACATTCATAGTCCTTAAAAAAATATGGTCAAATTTGTAGATTTGATGCAGGTGATGTTTGTCTTGAACATCATCTACTGTTGGCTGTGCTTTGGGTGCTTTAGGGGTGGGTGATTAGGAGTTAGGGTGGATATTACAGGGAGGCTTTGAAAGGTAAACATGGTTTTGTAATTGGAATCTCTTGGCCTTTGATTGTCCTGGATGGCTATGCCAAAATGTTACTGGGTAGCTCCTTCTAAAAGTGGCTCACAGGGGCTAGGGATGTGGCTCAGTGGTAGAGCTCTTGCCTTGCATGCACAAGGCCCTGGGTTTGATCCCCAGCACGATAATAAATAAATAAACAAACAAACAAACATACTGTCCTTTAAGTCACCTCTAGATTACTCAGAATACCTACTACTGTGTATGTGCTTTGTAAATAGGTGTTAAACTCTATTGTTTAGGAAGCAATGACAAGAAAAGGAATGTGTTCATATTCAGTCCTGATGCAGTTTTTGGGAACACTTGATCTTGTGATTAGTTGGTTGGATTTATGGATGCAGAACTTGTGGAGATGGATGGCCAATGGTGTCTGAAAACTTTCCTTAAAAAACAAACTTCTCCATACAAAAATGGTTTTAAAACTTGCGATAATATGTTTATAAACTATAATTATCAATAAAATGAGGTTATTGTTTGTCATGTTGACCCATGTGGGAAGTATGTGAATTGTTCCTCAGTTCACACAAATGCTTCCTGTTGATCAGAAACAAACAATACAACAGTTTTACTGTGTAATTTTTGCCTTCCTTTTGTATTGATAGGGCAAGAGAGACTCCATTTTTTTTTTTAACTCTATGTTAAGAGAAGTCACTTAAGTTCACCTAAGCTGTAGTTGACCCCACTCTTCACCCACCTCCCCTTGGTTAGTTGTCAGCCCACTTAAAGGAGAGCAGAGTCATAAAATGGGAATGGAGCAAGCAGGACAAATTGGGAAGCAGTCTAAAAGTTAAACCGCAATGGTCATCTGGAATCCGGCTATCCGGCAACTTCTGGGAAACATAAACCTTGTAACCATTATGTGACATTCTTGTAAATTTCCCAAAAATGAGGTAATGGTTACTATGGAAACCTAAAAATTTCTTTAACGGAAGGTGAGACCCGGCTCGGGCAGACATCTTCTCTGGCTCCTGGTCAGAGACTGTTCGTCAGCCAGCTCTCCAATAAAGCTTTGTTCATTTCTGCCTTTTCAGTCTCTTTGAGTGCCTGGCTCGTTGGACTCCCTGGCTGTATCAGTATCAGGTTGATAGTATTAGTATAATCCTGTATAAACATAAGGCACGTGTGACGGGTTTTTATTAACTCTCGGACCATTTTTCTTCTTTCCTTTCTCTAGAGGTATATCGCCATTGGAGAACTGGGGAAAGCCACTGACACGCTAGATTCGACCGGGAAAGTGACGGAAGAGAGACCTTACGGTATGGAGTCCACCTAATGAAGCTCTTTTTAACATTTGGAGAAAGTTTCTGTGAATGCATGACTTAAAAATAAAACTCTTACTTGGTATTTCCAGAGATTTTAGCTTTTAGTACATTTCTTTAGGTTAAGAAAAGTGGAAATTATCACATTGTTTGTTATTTGGTGTGAGTTTGTGAGTCAACACTTTTTATAATGTTTTTTCTATAATGAAGTTTTGCCATGTTCAGAATTATTCTTCCTTACCAAAGACATTTATAGCTAGGTTTTAGGGTAGTTTTCCCTAGTAAATGAGAAAGCAGAGATATTATCCTGCTAGATTTTACTTGTCTTGCCTTTTAAAAATAATTACTTCTCAGCTATTAAAGTAAACATGGCATGTTTAGTCCTTGAAAGCTCCTCATGTTCCTGTGCTTTTGGAGTAAAAAGATAGTACAGAAGGAGAGCTAATTTCCTAAAGTAGAGCATAGCTCTCTAAGGCCCACCTTAATTTTTCTGCCATTCCTTCTTTGCCCGCTTTAAGAAAGAATAGATAAATGAATTGGTTTCCTAGCAACTCTCATCGTGCTTGTGCTATTTATAATGCAGCCAGTGCAGTTTTATCAGTCAGTTCACCTGCATTATTATGTCACCAGTTGTGAATTATTTGTAGGCATTTTCCCCCTATGCTTGGTGTTATCTGTTCTTCATTTGGCCATAGGGAGTTTAGCATCTGGCTTTCCTATGTTTTTAGGTCCGTTATCCTTATTATATATTACTAATTGCCCCTGTAATGAGTCTGACCTTTTTCTTATTCATAATAGCTTCTCTTATACTGTTAACATTTACATGTAGCTTAGTATCTTGCCCAATTAGTGAAGCAACATAATGAAAAGATTGCTATTTATTTCTAAGTCGTTTTAAAACTAGGTGTTAAATTATCCTTGAAATTATTAATGGTACTAGCAAATAATAGCAGACCCTTATTTAACTGAAACCTAATTATAATCTTCAACCTTCAACCAGCTTTCAAGATTTAAGGGGCATAAGGCAATAAGAGGACATCAGAAATTTCCAGAGTATACTAACGTATAGTGGCAGTATGTGTGTAATTAAGTTCCCTATATCTTTATCTCCACTTGCCAAGTGTAAATAAGAAGAGTGATTGGTATTCAGAGCAGTGGTCATAGGCTCGTATAGTTTAGGATTGGTTACAGCTCCATGATGTATAAAGTGGACTAGACTATGCTAATGTAGGTTCAATTTCTAGCTCTGCTCTTTCTAACTGAGTGACCTTGAACATTTCTTAATCTCTTTATGTTTCAATTTCTTCATGTCCAAAATGGTGATAATGTTACAGTGTTACTAAGAGGATTGATTGGAGGAGAGTGGATATTGGGGTTTCAGAGACAAGTCATGATGCTCTTGTAGCCCCTGCAGAGATGATGGTAACTTGGAGCAGGGTAGGGGTGGTGGAGATAGACATTTCCAGATTGGAACAGTGGTTAGTAAGTAACAGTGGTGAGATTTGTTGAGATTTGATGAATGGATGGGAATAGTGAGGAGTTGTCAACCATGACCTAGGTTTTCGGGTTTTAAAACTGACTACACAGTGCTCTAATTCACTGAGGAGGGAAGGCAAGAAGAGTATTCAGGCTGACAGAGATACTTAAATACATTCTTTCCTCCTAGCCTTAAGCATTTGGGAATTTATAACACTCTACTCTGTATTGGATAATTTATAATTTTATTTACTTACCTTCAAGAAAGCTCAGTTTTTAAAAATAATTTATTACAATGCTGTAATAAATCATAAAGGAACTAAGTAAGTTTCTTCAGCCCCTGTACATGAGGGCTTCATATAGTTTATTGAGCAGTGTTTGTAGTCTCGGAGAAGTGAGGGCTCCAGCAGTTCTGCAAATTGGCATGATTTTTCTGTGCGCTTTCAGTAAATCATCGCATATTCACTGACTATTGAACCCACTATCACAAGTGGCAAGGGGAAGATGGACGAAAGTAAGGCCTTGCTTGTGTTCCTTAAGAACTTACTAATATCAGTACTCAGGAGGCTGAGGCAGGAGGATCCTTGCAAGTTCGAGACCAGCCTGGGCTACAAAGTGAGCTCAAGGCCAGCCTGAACTGCATAGTGAGACCCTGTCTCAAAAAGAGAGAGAGAAAAAAGAACGTACTGTTTTAAAGGTTCTCAGTGCTCAAAGAACTAATTGAGACCTATGATGAATATTTTATATGCTTTTATTACTATCCTGAAATGAAATTCAGAAATACTGTAACTTAAGTACACATTTTTTTTTTTTTTTTTGGTCCTGGGAATCAAACTCACAACCTTGTGCTTTACACATATTTTTAAAAAGTCAATACAATGCAGTACATGTAATGCAAAGAATAAAGGTAATTTATATTAAGTAGTTGTGCTGATATGTAAATGTACAAGTATTACTACACTAAAGGCTTCATGAAGTAATCAGATGTTTACACTTATACATCAATTACTTATGCATGCCACAGTACAAATGCAGACTGATATAGGTATATCAATGCTTCAGTATTAGGAAATTCAGTATGTATAAAACTGGACAAAAAAGACTTTGTTTAAATGTAAAGTAGAATTAAATTCAAGCCTCAGGTAGTTAGTTATAAACAGACTTTTCTTCTATGAGACTACCTGGCAGCCCTCCAGAAGTCAGGCAGTACCTCGGACAGTTCCTCACTGTGTTTCCTGGTCTCCTGTGGCAGGATGTGGAGCCTGACTGGCCTCCGCTCATTAAAGACCACCGGTGCCACCACCTCACCCACTCATTGTAACTACAAAATGCAGTTCTTAATTGATCCATCCGCTGACAACAGCTGACACTTAGCTAGAGTAAGGAGTCTGCATCAGTGCCAAATGAATATTCTTAAATTAGTTTGTCCTGGCTTGACAAATACTATTTTTAGCTTTTGTGTCCAGTAGTGAAGAATAAGAAAAAAGAGTCATTGGATTTGTAGGCTCTGAGTTCAGACTTTATAAACAGAGCCCTTTTATTCCCTAGCACAGCACCCACCGTTATTCATATTTTTTTACCAGTCACAAATAATCCTTGTGGGCTGGGGATTTAGCTCAGTGGCAAAAGCGCCTGCCTGGCAAG